CACCCTATTGCTCACTCCAACCCTGACCTTTCCTGCATCATCCTTTCTTAACCTTCGAGCTCCAGACATCCACAATTATATTACTCCTAATTCGGATATAAATATTGCCAATCATCCCAATATGAGACATTCTTGTGCCAATAGACAGTTTGGAGTAACACTGTTAAAAGATCTGACAAAACAAAGACTTACTTGGAATACAACTTATTTATCTAAAAAAGAAAATCTCCTCTTCGTAATTCGTTATTTCCTCACAGTTGCATTATCTGATTTCTTGTTTCGATATGTATAATAACAGTTCGTCGAGTTTTCCTTTCATATTGCTTTAATTATTGCTCTATGAGCGATTGCAAAATATTCTTTTCAGCACCTATCCTTTCAAATATTTTTACAGCGATATATTTTATATCTTTTATATCGGGACAATAATGCAACAGATGTATTTACTTTCAGATTTCACTTACATTCAGATCTTTCAAATTGACACAGGTCGTGTAATTGCTCCAGACTTGATCAGACACCGGATGTCGAAACCAGGTGCCATTTGCTTCGCAGTATTTGTGAGCCCTCACTGAAACAAGAACATTTTCTTAGAAACAATTTTTCTAAACAATTTCGACAAATGTACAACGTAAATATATTCTACAATTTCTAAATCAATATGGAAAAATACATTTGATATTTATACGTGTGAATGTCACAGGCATGAATTTAGCAGTTCCAATAAACGACATCTAACATCGTGACATTCGAAGAGAAATGGCGCACGCTTGAAACCCTAGGACTTTCCGCACAATAAAACAGAGGAAAAGAAAAGTGAACCCCATTTGTCTCCTACTCTCGCTTTCTCGTTGGCAAATGACAAAGCGTGCACCTAAAGTGCCCTTATTTCTGCTTGACAATTTTACACTGTCGCGGTGATGAAACGAAGACTATAAACGATACGATTTTACCCTTTCAAAGTGGAGAAATAATAAGGAACAACCGAGAAACAAAAGTTTCTTCTTTCCTCCGAGGGAAAACGAGTACGTATTTGTCTTTTTCCAGAATTATACCCCGAAACTGTAAGTTCATTTCCTCGTTTGCTTTCTAATTTCTCCAACTCTGCTTTCTGTTGAAAAATCCAAGTCCTGCGAAACTTCTTGCCCCTACTTCGAACTTCCTAATTCCTTATTCGATGGCAGGAATCTTCTTATTTAATTCGAATTTAATTACATCGCCTGTACCATACTCTTACTCGTGCAGATCTTCCTTTAATCCCACCAACCTAATTTCAAAATTGAAAAGTTAAATTAAATACAATTTAACAAGGGAAGCAGCAAACTTCCTACAAAAGTGTCGAATATTTTCCAATACTATAAAATATGAAATAAAGCTTTATTATTACACCCTGTTGTGAAATATTTTACAAAATATTTGGAAAAACGAAAAACGAATATTTTCTACGAAAATGTACGGTATCAAAGTTTTATTCTTAAAACAAAATTCACTGTTATACTTATTATTACTCATTACTATACTATACTACGCTACTATGCATACATCAGGATACCATAAAATTTTTATTAATCCTTTGCACTCTCAGTCACCATTTCATCAAATTCTAGAGATCATTGTTAATTAATATCTCGAATTTAAAATTGTCCAACGACGCGTGGAATATCGAGGTAAAATAATTCTATATCTTACAATTAATTTGCACTTAGTTACCGTTTTGAAAATATCGTCGACTTTGTGGCAGGAAGTCTTCGAATTACTATGTTTCTGCAACGAAAAGATCGCCAAGTGCAAAGGGTTAATATTAGAGAACGAAATCATGGAGTACGTCTATTTCTTTTCTAATTGTAACAATTTCTTCTCGTAGTTTCTAATAATTTCCATAAAATACTGGCGAATATGACGAAGGCATCCATTCAACGATATCTAATACTCCATACGTCCCTGGAGTTTCGAAGAAATTCGCGTGGAAAATTCTCACGATGAAAGCAGTGTGAATCACACGATACAAAAGGTCCTGCGAAACATTCAGCCCACCTTCCTTCTATGAAACGAAGATGATGTGTCCGCGGATATGAACGATATCCTGGATCAAGTTTACCTCCGCAATAAACCTCGCATCACGTTCATGGAAATGGAAAATTCAATGCTTTCTGTGCAATTCCTTAAGAAAAGATGAGAAGGTGAGAGGCAATATGTCAAATATTAACGTGACTTAGTATATGCTTCTTAAAATACTCCCTCCTGATTTTTTGAATATATACGACACTGTAAATGTGTTGGGAATTTCGTGGAGGAAATAGCCAAACGCACAGGGAAATAACTGTATTCAGTTGTATAGCAATCTTATTTGTAAGAGGTTTATTATACGATATATAATTAAAACGTATGAGTCCTATTTTTTCCTTTTTAATTTGGATGCCGCTATGGGTAACAATGTATAAATAGCCGTTTTGGTTTCTAACTGAAAACTGTGGAGCTCTGAAAGACGGCAGGCCCTTTTAAGCCTTCAAAACCGACCCCTTGAAGTTCAAAGGTCGGTAATGCCCTGCAACCTTCGACAGGCATGTCGTCATAGTTGCATGGGCGTAGATGGCTTCCAACAAAATGTACTCAATTCCTCATCGAATTTCGATTTTGTTTAATATCCTTTTATAATATAATACAAATGTATAGTAAAATTTTGCATTTGACAAACGTTTTGCAGAAAGAAGGTCGTATACATTTTACACGTGCATCATATACTCAATTCTGAACTTACATTTTAAACGTTTCCATTTATTTCTGTTGTAAATTAACTACGGCCATGCAACGATGGTGACAGGCCTGCTAGTTAAATTCAATACTTTCTGTGCAATTCCTTAGGAAAGATGAGAAGGTGAGAGGCAATATGTCAAATGTTAACGTGACTTAGTATATGCTTCTTCATTTTTCGAATATATACGACACTGTAAATGTATTCAATTCCTCATCGAATTCCGATTTCTTTTAATATCCTTTTAGCTAAATGTATAGTAAAATTTCGCATTTGTCAAATGTTTTGCAGAAAAAAGGTCGAATACATTTTACACGTGCATCATATACTCAATTCTGAACTTACATTTTAAACGTTTCCATTTATTTCTGTTGTAAATTAACTACGGCCATGCAACGATGGTGACAGGCCTGCTAGTTAAATTCAATACTTTCTGTGCAATTCCTTAGGAAAGATGAGAAGGTGAGAGGCAATATGTCAAATGTTAACGTGACTTAGTATATGCTTCTTCATTTTTCGAATATATACGACACTGTAAATGTATTCAATTCCTCATCGAATTCCGATTTCTTTTAATATCCTTTTAGCTAAATGTATAGTAAAATTTCGCATTTGTCAAATGTTTTGCAGAAAAAAGGTCGAATACATTTTACACGTGCATCATATACTCAATTCTGAACTTACATTTTAAACGTTTCCATTTATTTCTGTTGTAAATTAACTACGGCCATGCAACGATGGTGACAGGCCTGCTAGTTAAATTCAATACTTTCTGTGCAATTCCTTAGGAAAGATGAGAAGGTGAGAGGCAATATGTCAAATGTTAACGTGACTTAGTATATGCTTCTTCATTTTTCGAATATATACGACACTGTAAATGTATTCAATTCCTCATCGAATTCCGATTTCTTTTAATATCCTTTTAGCTAAATGTATAGTAAAATTTCGCATTTGTCAAATGTTTTGCAGAAAAAAGGTCGAATACATTTTACACGTGCATCATATACTCAATTCTGAACTTACATTTTAAACGTTTCCATTTATTTCTGTTGTAAATTAACTACGGCCATGCAACGATGGTGACAGGCCTGCTAGTTAAATTCAATACTTTCTGTGCAATTCCTTAGGAAAGATGAGAAGGTGAGAGGCAATATGTCAAATGTTAACGTGACTTAGTATATGCTTCTTCATTTTTCGAATATATACGACACTGTAAATGTATTCAATTCCTCATCGAATTCCGATTTCTTTTAATATCCTTTTAGCTAAATGTATAGTAAAATTTCGCATTTGTCAAATGTTTTGCAGAAAGAAGGTCGTATATATTTTACACGTGCATCATATACTTAATTCTGAACTTATATTTTACACATTTCCATTTATTTCTGTTGTAAATTAACTACGGTCATGCAACGATGGTGACAGGCCAACTTCGAGGACCTTGAATACTATGCAGACATCAAGGTTTGAACCGCATATTCTTTATATTCGCACAAGTGTATATATTTCATCTATATTAAGCTTTGCATCGTACATTTTGTTCTTGCATTAATAAATAAATTCGAATTTTATGAAATTATAATTTCAAGTGTTTCTATATCATTATATCACAGAAATATTAGGTCTACCGGAAAGTTCTGTCATTTAATGTCACCTGAAGTTTTGTCGAATTTACTATACTTTCCAGACTTAATATCTAATTCGATTACCATCTGTTTCTTTCCCTCCAAAATTTGTTGAAGAGAATAAGTTTGGAAAATGAAGCAGGTGTCAAGCAAACACTGTTCGAATTCTTCGCCTCTAAAAGCGAGGCCTTTCAAGAAAATGAAATTCACAAATTTCCATCATCCTGGGAAGTGGTCATAAGTAACGATGAAAATGATATTGTTAGATAAATATAAATAAATTTATTGAAAATGTATTATTTTCTTTTACTTCAAAAACGGACAGAACTTTTCGGTAGATCTAACGTTAAATATAAAATATAAAATATCACAGTATCAATGATTTATATCTAGTAATTCCTAGCTGTGAAACATAGAAACTCCTATTAGAATTGAATAGAGTATTCGCTGAATCAGGATTATGGTCCAATGTTTCATGGCAAGAGACAGATCTCGGTCCTTTTTAAATATTTTCTTTCCTTTCCATTATGTCTATTTTAACAACGTCGGAGAGGTGAATAAGAGAAAAAGCTGAAAGCACGAACCTCGTGGTGTATTCGTCGAATAATATTTCAGCCCGGTATTTTTACCCAGGATTAACCGTTTCCTCGAAAATGAAAAAAAAGAAAAAAAAAAGAATTAAAAAGTACAGCGAAATATCATAGAACAGATCACGAATAAGCGCCTTTACTTTCGATCGTTTCCAAAGCTATTGTGAACCAAAGTGCAGTTCGAAATCTCTCTTCCTCGAAACTCGTTCTCTTCTCGTGCCTCAAAGAACATGGATCCAGTTTCGAATTTAAACATCGTCTGTCAACGGTACAGTTTTGTATCCTTTATTTCGCGATATTCGCACGCTGTATCAATTTCATTTATTTCCTCTTTTCCCAGAAACGAACAAAGAAAAGATCGGAAAACCGTGGTCGCGGGCAAATTAAATCGCGCGAGTTGAACAAAAATCCACCAGTCCATGTCACCAAATCCACCAAATCCACCAAATCGCGTATTTTTCGCGATCGACTGGAACAACATCGGAGTTATTTTTTCATCCCGACGAAAGATGATTAAATTTGGGCACCAATGATCGAATTGCGTTCGATCGTGTCAAATTTTCCATAACAGATCCGGATTCGAGAATTCGACGTGGATGGTGAA